TCAGCCGTGGGGGCGTTATAATGTGACGGTCAATCCGACTCTTCGTTGGTAAAAGAGTAGCCCAAGAGTTGTCGGTGGGTGGTGATGACTAGCTGCCTTCTCTATAGTCTTACACTGCTAAATTAGGGACGGCTAGCATTGATAGCCCTCGTGTAGCTTTGAGCGAGATTCAAAACAAACAAACAAGACTATTACAGTCAAAATGCTCCACAACTGTACATAGCAGCTCGAACCTTGGACTTACCCATATACAGTCCGGTACGCGATCTCAGACTGATTTGAAAATATATTCAATATTATATCATGTATACGCCTGAAGATGGTGGCGTAAGAACATTGAAATATGTAGTCTTTATAGGGCTAGTCCTTGTTTTTAACAAATTATTTATTTCGTAATTACTTTAACATTGTACTCCGTTTAATTGTATATATATATATGTGTATTACGTAGTCTCCGTTTTAATTTACTTACCTTACCTTATATTACTTACTGCTAAAATACACACCATGCAAACCTTGTAGTATTTACAAGCCGAATACACAAATATCTATACAGTTTTACACTCAAATATTATTAAGTTAATGTTTAAACCACTCTAGTTTTTGCGAGTTCTCACTGTTTTCGTTTCATAATATCGGTTTCATTCATACTACAATCCGTCAGTTTGCCTGTATAAGATAAATATATATAATAAAAATATTGTGAGGATTTATGATTTCTACAGTGTTTTTCTAATCATAGACTGGGGTTTATAATGCTAAAAATTGGGTACAAATACTTGCGGTTGGCACTGAACAGATAGACTGTTGTGTAGTTTTGTATTTAATAACAAACAAACTAAGATTTATTAAACAGAAAATTATAATTAAAGAATCTTATTTACTACTTGTGATATATTGTTTGCTCTTACAGCCAACTGTAAGAGGACTTGTAAATAAAAAGCACGTTAATTATTCCTGAAAAAATGCTATTTTGTTTAGTGTAATATATGTTTCGTTTCTCTTGTTACTAGCTAAAGCAAATAATAGTATTTTTTAGGGTTAATCTATATGGAATAAGTAAATTGAAAACAATTTTCAAAGCATTACTGTATACAAGTAGAAACAAATAGAATAACAAATCTTCTTAATATTTATGAAATAAAAGTCTATATTAAATTTATCAATCATCGCCCCTCTTGCCCTCGGTGGCTCAGCGGTAAGTCTGAGGACTTATAACTCTAAAACTAGAGTTTCAAACCCGTGGTGGGCAGAGCAAAGACAGCTCATTGTGTAGCTTTGTGCTAAACAACAACCAATCAAACGAATAGCAGCACGCAACGACCCAACTCACAGTGAAAAAATGAATAATCTCTTGCATAATTTGCATTGAATACGTTTCTATATTAACATAAAATATATATTTTTTATAACTTTCCTAACCTAATTAAAATCAAACTTAAGAAATGTTAATTTATTATTTTTTTAGCAGAAATGTCATATTATTAATGTCTGATATGTAGCTTTTGTGGCAGAAAAATATTATGTATTTCAAGTTTATTGGAGATCTTTAGAGATCATGATTATCAATTTTGTTGAAATACCCTAACTTTTTTCTTCTCTATTTTTAAAGTAATTTAGCTTTCTTTGAAAATGCGTCAAATTAACAGATCGAAATAATTCAGTGTATTTCAGTATGTTAGTTAGGTTATTCTTGAAAAAAAAACTATCAGTGAAATACGTTCCTCTAGGTAAAAATGAAGTTTAAGTTGCCAATTCCATTCAAACAACCCTCCTAAATCAACCTGTCAGTGACTAATGTGTGACACTGTGAATCCACTGGTCCCCAATTCGCGTCCCGTTGCAGTAAAATCGCGCTTCGCACTTAAGGTCAAAGGTGCGTTAGAACAATGACGGTCAAGTTCCACTATCCAATCAGAGTGGCTCAAGAATTGGCAGTCCAAAATTAGGGACGTCTATCAAAGATAACCCATATTTTGTTTTACGGAATATTTACAATAAGAAAATAATAGATCAGATCGTTAGATAAAAGGATTTTTAAAATTAAAAGATTTTCTACTGAATTATAAGATTTTTTAATGGATAATACACTCCAAATTTTCTTAAAGAAGTTTGGAAGTGTATGTAAGTAGCTTTACTTGGTAAAGTTTTTATTCATATAATTATATTTCGAATATTGATTTTGCAAATAGATTTACATTCTTCAAATCTAAAAGTTATTTATCATGGATAAGTTCCAGGTAGACAGCGACCGTGACGCTAACCGTGAAACTATATACATATATATATATATAAATGGTCACATCTTGCGTTAAGTTTCTCTCTGACTACCAAAAAAAAAAAGTAAAATCCCAACCACCTTCTTTATTGACTCCGTTTCTTTGCTAATAAATCTTTAAAGGAACTCTTTGACTACACCATTTCGTAGCAAACAAACTCTTTATGAGCCTTTCATTTTGTTTTTATGCTGGGATGATTCTATAGACATCATTGTATTTAGAAATAATAGCCAAGCATAATTTTAGTTCTCAATATAGACACTTTTGTCTCACCATTTAAAAATTTTATTTTAAAATTTCGTACAAAGTTACTGGGAGGCTTTCGGGGTTAGCAGTTTCTTATTTTGACATGATAGACTTAAGGGAACGTAGCTATTTAACACCACCTAACGCCAAACCTTGGGCTACTCTTTACCAGCAAATAGTAGAATTGATCTTGACATAATAATGCCCGAAGCCTGAAAAAGTGAACATGTTTTGGGAGGGAATTTGACGGGCCTTTGAGGGGCCTTAACCACCATGGCTTAGTCGTTCCTAATTTTGAAGAGATAGCTTAGAGGTAAGGCAACTAGTCAACACTGTATTAAACATCGCTAATTATTGGGCTTCTCCTTACCAAGGAATAATTGGATTGAACATGATATTATAACACCCCCACGGCGGCAAGGGCGAGCATGTATGGCGACGAGTTTCGCTTCTGCGACCTGCAGATTGCCAACAATGCACAGGTTATACAGTAAATAAAATAGGTTTTAGTACTGTACTACTAAACATAGTTTTTCGAAGTGAGCTTTACATCACTTAATATTTAGAAATTTAAACAAACCACTTCTAAAAACGTCGTCTTATCTTATTTAGTTTATGAAAATAAAAATAATTAAAAGAAAAACTCTTAACTGTATTATTATTGTTTTTGAAGATCTTAATCACTGATTAACGGAGCATGTTAGTCCAAATCCTTAGTTTAATCTCCTTTTTATTTGTTTGTTTGTTATTAATAGTGAACAAAACAATACATAAAACGTAGTACAGACAAATCACATATATTATACCTATATTTGACTTCCCGTGACAATAAGTCGGTATTAATTGTCTCCATTGACATTTGCTTTAAACCTATACGCATTCTAACTATAATACTACGTAACCATTGCAACAAACACGTTTAATTCGCTGTACCATAAAGTGTAATAATATATTACATGTAGGTGTAAAATCAGAAACATGATTGTTTGTTTGTTTTGAATTTCGCGTAAAGCTACACGAGAGCTATCTGCGCTAGCCGCCCCTAATTTAGTAGTGTAAGACTAGAGGGAAGGCAGCTAGACATCACCACCCACCGCCAACTCTTGGGCTACTCTTTTACCAACGAATAGTGGGATTGACCGTCACATTATAACGCCCCCACGGCTGAAAGGGCGAGCATGTTCGGTGTGACGGGGATTCGAACCTGCGACTCTCAGATTGCGAGTCGAGTGCCTTAACCATCTGGCCATGCCTCAGAAACATGAATTAGTAATAAAAAGTATACGTTTTTGTTTATTATCAAATAATTTTTGAGTCATAAATTAGGCCTGGAAGTAACTATTAGCTCAATCGGTTCAATACTCTGATTTTACTGTCAAAGTGAGTCAAGCTTGATCCCAAGCAGGTCTTTCTTATAACACCCAAACTATTTAATATTAAACATATACATAAACATTTACCTTTGGTATCAAGTATATTAAGTGGGGTTAATATTTGCACAGAACATTTCAATGCGTCGATATTGTTGTTTTGAAACCAAAATGGAAATTATACCTTTTGCAAAAAGGAGCATTATTCCGTTAGAATAATTCATAGACTCTGTAATATGTTTTCTTTGGGATTTTATGATAATCAGGGATATTTAGAAAGACAAATAATTTATATCCTTGTCCTCTAATGAATGCACAGGATTCATACCACACCATTGTCCCCTAATCATTAATCTTTACCAGGGCAATAACATGGCTACAATCAAATGAACTTTCATTAGAGCAACTTTAAAATTAACATCCTTATGTGATTGCTTCCAGAAACTTATTCACCTATCAATTTGAAAATGATTGAATTAGTTATCCTTAACAAATTTACATTCAATGATCAAGATTTTATTTCTGAGTGGGCTTAAACTAGGCAAAACCGAGCTAAGTATTATTGGGGTCTTGGAGTGAGGTGCAGTAGCATATCCTAGCTTTTCCGTATTACCCAAATATATAGAGACTTTGATATATTGGCTTCACAAATGGTACGTACACGCTCTTCACATGCTACTTTGAATGGAACAATATCTCCTTGAATACGTTTTAAATATAGTTTCTCTAAATATTTTACAGTTCAAATGGGTTTACATTTGTGACACCTTGACAAAAACTTTGATTGACTCGAAGTTTTTAATGTGTGGGTTTGTCAAGTTCCTAGTCCCACTTAATGATGGAATGGTCATCAGTAACCAAGAATGGTGTTTGGTTACGCACTCACTTTTCCATGCTTTTAACAGCAGTATAGTAAATTTCTCTTCCTTCAAAATCACGTAATTAACGACGTTATACTCACTGAATTCCCTTTATTAATACCAAATTACATATTCAAGTTACCAGATATATTGATTGGTTGGTTTCCTTATACTTCAAACCTAAAAGCTTTATTTACAGTGAAAAGTATTTTGCAGGATTTTTATATGGTATATTCTCTTTTCAGTTCCCAGGACAGAAATCTACACACTTGTAGGGCATCCAGCACAATTACCGTGTGATATCAGCCCCGCGTTTCCCAGTGACGAAGTGTCTCTCGTTCTTTGGTACAATAACAAATCTCCTTCCCCGGTTTACAGCCTTGACGCAAGACAAGGAAGTTTATCTTATAGTAGGCATTGGAGAAGTGATGAGCTGGCATCTAGAGCATACTTCAACATTAAGGATGTTCCAGCGCATTTAACACTTGATCCAGTGACAGAAGGAGATGAAGGGGTGTTTACGTGTCGAGTGGATTTCCACAAAGCTAGAACACGATACTGGGAAGTCGGGGTGAATCTTGTAGGTGTGTTCTAGTCATGTGACTGAGACACTATCAGTACTTTAAAACAAAAACTAAAGGAATAAAAGTATTTCGAAATATTTTTGGACATGGTATTATTTGTAAAAATAAATAACTGAATAAATAAAATTAATGTTCACTAAATTATATGAGGTAAACAAATAGAATATATTTATGATTTTATCTGTATCGAGTTGAAAACAATTATTAGTAAATTTGATAACATCCTGCCAATGTCTCCATTTCTTTTTCTTAATTAAAAAGAGAAAAATAAAAAAATCATTTTTTGTGATGAGAAAATTACAATTCAACATTTAGTGGTTTATCAAAGATAAGTAATGTAATTATATGGAATACGTTAAATATTTTTTTATAAATTTGAGTACAACATTTCAAATGAACAAATCAAAAGCTACAAAAACACTTTATTATAATACTAGTTGGCTTCTAATGGTTTATTGGCAACTCAAAACACGAAGAGTTTACTTTAAGCACACATTGGAGTTAGATGAAGATTCCCTTGTGCTATACCATATTAATGATATACGAAATTTAAAATTTGTCAGAAAAGTCCGTAAACTTACTGCTGCCCCATCGAAGGTCCATAATTTTAAGTTTTTTGGTCAATTACTTAGCCTTGTTTTGATCAATTTACATAGAAAATTGTTACAAGAATACTCTTTGCAGGTCCCAAACAGGCTTTTGGAATTTTTGTCTTTTGCTCAACTTTTCATCCATGAAGGGACGAGTTGAAGTTTTCGTGAACTATTCACGTGTATGTCAACCAATTTACATGGAAGTTGGCATATAAATACCTTTTTGCAGGTCTAAAGAGGCGATATAGACAGTTTTAGATTTTTCTGTGTTTCTCACAATTTTTCTGGTGTTAAAATTAGCCAGGTTGGGATTGCGTGACGGAGATAAGTTGCATTCGCTCGCCAATGTTGGCCTTCTTAATTAATAATTTATTTCACTACGTATGCATATTTAATTTTTGTTAGTGATGTCTTCTGCTTCGGACAGGACAAAGAAATATATACAAAACACTAATAAAGGTTATTGATTAGGCGATATAAAACTAACAATTTTCGACGCTATCTTCATTGAAAATCATTATTACATTTTTTGTCATCATACGATTTGATGGAATTAATGGTTTATTTTTTGCAGTCCCACTTTTATGCATTAAATTCGTCGAATTATTTTACGCTATAATTAGGTAATATATGCCTTTGTTAGTGCCACCCTCCTAGATGGCTCAGTGGCAAGTCTGTGGGATTATAACACTATAATTCGGATTTTGATATTCACGGTGAGCACATCAACGAAGGCCCATTGTGTGCCTTTGTACTTAGTTACGAAACAAAAAGCTAACCTTTGTTTATTACGATTTCGCCACCTGGGAACAGATAGATATTTTACACTTGTTCGAATCATCAGAAAACACATCATGCTTCATTGTTTCCGACTTGAGAAATGTTTATTACAGAGAAATACACACACACACACACATATATAAATTTAGCCATGCAATGTTTCGACTCTTTACTTAGGACATCATCAAGAATAAGAATATAGCGCTAGTTAGGCACAATAGAAAATACAAGATCAAAAGAATGTTCTAATCGTATGAAACAAGAACAACAATAAAATCAACCAACAATATTATTGACAACATTACTTAATTTCTGTAGTACATAGTGGTTGACAGAAGACATTTTAGTACTAAAAATAAACTACCTTATAACACCAAATTTGTTATTTTTCTTTAATTGGATACACAACATTTCGTTTTATAGCATCTTCAGGAGTGTTTCACTAAGACAAAGTTACAAAGAAGTCACATGACCGGATATTGCTCACCAGCTTATTAAATGTATATTGGTACTCCGGTGTGTTGGCTTAAAGTAGGGCTATTTTGTTCAATTAAGATGGTTTCCTTTATTTCCGGTTTGTTACGTTTGTTTTTTTTGTTGTTTTTTGCCTGTGTCCAGGTAAAGTACTTGTACCTGATGATGAAACAAGCTAGTCAAAACGTTGTACATTTGTAGTAGAGTTTCTTTCATTACTCGTTCAAGCCATCTCCAAAGTGGGTTCCGTGTTATCAAACTTAAATTCGCTATTAGGTCAGATAGAAGTACTCCAATAGTCTGCTGTAGGTGCTGTTGACTAACTACCACCCTTCTAGTATTCCAGCTCAAAATTAACATAACATAATGTTTATGAACGACAAAGGACTTATTGGTCCATTTAAGCTGTCCTATCCTCTAAACTATAAAAACCGCAAATCCAACCCTTATCATTCATAAAGTTATCAAGCTTTCTCTTAAACTTACTTAAATTTCCTGCCTCTACAACATTCGAACTTAATACATTCCAGAGGCCAATCTCCTTGTCAGAAAAATCAAAATGTCTTAGCTAAAAATGACTCCTACCTGCCAAAATTTATACTTGTGTCTCCTCTTCCTACCATTACATATGAAAAAAGATAATGCAAAAACACTATAATTTTCCTTAACAATCTTAAACACCTCAAACATATCCCACCTTTCCTTCTTTTTCTAAGAGAAAAATATATCAGAGATTTTAAACTCTCCTCTTATGACAACCCCACCATCCTAGGCAACATTCTAGTAGCCGTCCTCTGAACCCTTTCCAACAATTCAATGTCCTTCCTAAGGTAAGGAGCCCAAGACTGAACAATACTCCAAATGTGGCCTAACCAGTGACTTATATAATGAAATTATAATCTCTTTAGATTCAATAGTTATTCCCATCCAAATCATACTTATAATTCAAATTATGATAACCCACATGAATTATGTTGCGTTTATTGTAATTAAAATCAATCTGCTATTTATTCGTCCAGCTCACTAAATGATCTAAATCCTTTAGTAAAGCAGCAGCATCCTACTACATCCAGTAACACCCAAGTCCTCAATACCATCAGCAAATTTAATTAATTTATTGACCATTCCTTCACCTGTATCATTGATGTAGATCAAAAAGAGCAAATGTTCTAAGACTGAGCCCTAAGGTACACCAGTTGTGAGATTAATTCAATTTGACTGAACTTCATTTATAACAACCCTCTTTTTTTTCTTCCACCCAGCCACTCTTCTATCCAATTTTCTAACTTAACCCCCATACCTATAGAAATACTTTACAAGCCTTATATGTGGCACCTTTTCAAATGCTTTCTGAAAATCCAGATACACCAAATCTACACTTTTACCTACTGCGGGTATCGAACCCAAATATTTAGCATTATAAGCCTGCATACTTACCGCTGAGCCACCGAGGGTCTAATATATATATACATTAATCGTAACTTTGCATTTATTAAAATTATTCTTATTAGTTGTCTATGTACAAGAACCTTTAAACTAACGTATATAGAGAAAACTTTGAAGCATATATATATATGGAAAACTTTAAAAAGCATTTGATCAAAACTGATCATTGTAATACTAAATCTAGATTGATTGTTTTTGTATATTTGTTTCTGAATTTCACGCAAAACTACACGAGGGCTATCTGCGTTAGCCGTCCTTATTTTAGTAGTGAAAGACTAGAGGGAAAGTAGCTAGTCATCATCACCTACTAACAACTCTTGTACTACTCTTTTACCAACGAATAGTTGGATTTACCGTCACATAACGCCCCCACAGCTGAAAAGGCAAACATGCTTGGTTGGACGAGGATTCGAACCCGCGACTCTCAGACTGCGAGTCAAGCGCCCTAACCACCTACCCATGCCGGGCCATCTAAATTGAAATTGCAATAAAATGAAATATTCCTTTAACTTTGTACATCTATATTTAAGATACAAGGGCAGAAATATTATAGCGTCCTGAGAAAATTTATACATTGGAAAGAAGATTTGTAATTGAAGGTTTATAGCAAAAAACAAAGAAACAACAACTCAAAAATTAAACCAAAATTATACATACATTCAATTTTGAAAACTGATATAGATAAATTGACCGAAGGGTTATTTCCGTTTCCTGTAATAGCTGGTTAAAAGACAGCAACTAGATTATTAGAACCAAATGTGCTATTTTCAGATTCAAGATAAAAAAAAGAGGTATAGTATATTTCTAATGGTCCTTTTTTTTTCTCTCCTGCTCTAATCGTGGATACTTAAGTGTTATATTGTATACATTTCCTTTACAACGAAAAATCGCGAGCACGAAACCAGGACTTTAATAATCACACTGAATCCTCACAATATTTTGCTCTTATATCCACGCTGAGGTTATATATCATACTGTGATGAAATTTTTGTGTATTTGCTGAATTGAAACCTTAAACATTTAGGGAAAAAATTATTATATTAAGTTAAATTATACCGCATATTTATATAATCAAATTTCAATTGTTTGTGCAAATGGCAACATTAGATTAAGTATTTTTCGAACCGAAACGTCTTTAGTACTTCTATAACGTGTCTAGACCTGAGTACATAAAACATGATTGACTTACTATATCAATTAGCAGTATAAGATGTTTATAATTTAAAAACATTCTGTCAGCTGCTATTGAAAGTATCAATATTTCGATTCCCATAAACTATCTAAGTACACTGAACATATACAGTTTGGTTTACCTTAATTATTTCTATAGTAAAATATTTTTAAATAATACCCTAACATTTAAATTTAATTATGTATCCTGTTAAATAAATTGATGGATAGACCAACAGATGAAAATAAATTCATTTTCAGGGAAAAATAATGCGTAATTTTATTTTCTAGTTCTTCCAAATAAACCAGTTATTCGAGATGAAACCGGACAGCCTCAGCAAAGTTTGATTGGACCTTATAATGAAGGTGATATTCTGACTCTCACCTGTGAAGTACTTGGAGGTAATGAACACTAAGACCTGATAGAAATAATGCAATTTTGTTGAATTATATTTCGAGCATGGTTGTCCCTATATTTGAGACATATGAATATTTCATCAATGATATGTATATATTAAGAACAAAACGTTACAAGTTAATACAAAATTTTAGTTCAGAGTTATATACCAATGTTTTTGAACGCTTGAAATAATTAAATCTGAGCTTTTAGAAATTTGTTAATAGCAAGTAGATCTTTTTATAAGATTTTTTTTACATCTTTCTTATTACTGTTTCAAAGTAAGCAATATGATATTATTTTTGTGGACCAATATCTTCTTAACATTGAAATATATTAATTATCACTTAATGAGTATCTGTAACATATGGGAAGTACTTGTAGGACGTATCCATTATGTCAGAGAAAGCTCCAATTTGTTTCATATGTCTTACGTAAAAAAAATGTGTAAATCCTGCAATATGATTTTGAGGTTCTAAGTAACAGCTACTCAAACTTGTATTTAGAAAATAAACATGTTTGTACTTTTCTGTAAATGTACTATATTAGATACATAATTTAACACCATGTTTCCCTAATATACTTCAAAAACAAATTTTACAATTTTTTAATCATAAAATTCAAAGTAATACCGTTAACCATAATCGCCTAACGGTTCGTGCTAATATTTTTCAACTTTTTTTAGAATCATTAGTTCGTTCAAATCATCAATTAAAAGGAAACGACGGCATTAAAATAAAAACCACACATGTCAACAAAAAGTAATCGACTGACATTATTAATTCTAAACATACGCCCTTTTCTTCGTAACACAGGAAAGCCTCAACCAAATGTCACATGGTGGAGAGAATCTGTGCTTTTAGACAACTTCATTGAGGTTAAGACTTCTTCAACGGTAAAAAATATCTTAAAAATTCCGTTTTTACAGCGGCATGACCTGATGGCAGCCTTTATCTGTGAAGCTTCCAATACTGATCTCATTTTGCCTTTCTCAACTTCAGTCACAGTAGATTTGAATTGTAAGTACTGGATTCTTTTTACATGCACTTTCAACTTAAGAAAATATATAACTTTATTTACAATGTTCGTATTTTCAATAACAAACATTTATTTCTGTCCTCTCAAAACTGCAAGGGAAACGTGCTTCGAATATCATTTACAATATATTTTTTTATTGCTTTCCAAGGTGAGACTCCTCACAAAACACTTTCTATAAAAAAGATAAAAACTATGGTTGCTTCTAAAGTTTTTCACTTTATTGGTATTTGTGAAAAATAATTTACCATTTATCAGTGTTTGTTTGAGTAATTTAAATATTCTATTTAACTGTAACTTTAGTTCAAGCCATGGAAATGCCGTCTTAAAGTAGGAAACATACAATATGCCTAGACATCATATTATTGAAGAATATTGTTTACTGAACTTTTAATTAACTTTTTACAGTCTTCTATAGCAGGATTTCAAATCGAATTCCGTAAAACTGTATATTCTAAACTTTCAACCCACAAGCAGCTCAAACTGCTTCTTTCTTATTCTCCGAGATAAAGAACAAATCATTATTGTTATCATTGAATGTTTCAAACATTATCTATGACTTAGTGAATTAAAATATAAAAAAATATTTACTGATCTACTAGACAAATGTAGTAGATATCCTCAATATCCAAATTATTTAAAAATTATACTGCCTATTTTATTAGCTGTTATTGATTTTTTTAAACAACGAGCTTCATTAGCGAATTGAAACAATACATAAAGTAAATACTCGACTGATGACAGAAATATTGATCATTGTTTGATAATTCATACAGTCTGATCCTAAACTATTGAATGTAAAATTATATAACAGCAGATATAGTTTAGCAATTGAAAGGATAAATTTAATTGTATATCAACATCAAAACAAAAAGGATTACATTCTATATGTATCATTACTTTAACTCATATTACCATATTATGATTTATGGCGTATCAATGCTAGTGCTTTCACTAGTGATCGATATGGATCGAGCAATGTAAAGTGTCTTTATTCTAAAGTAAGTCTACATTAAATAATTTCAAAGTGCTTATTCTTTAACAGAGTTTCGTAAAAACAAAACAAAAGACTATACTATAATTTTGATTGCGTTCTATTTGAGTACGATATTCATTTAAAATATATAATTTTTAATTAATGAAACTTAATTTGTGAATCATTTGTATAAGACCTACTATTATTATTTTTCTTATATTTTGATACGTTTGATTTGTACAGATTATTTTCTGTATTGGATCTCTTGGCATTATTATAAGAAATATCGATATGATTTCTCGAAATAGGATAAGTCAATTTTTATTTATTCACTGAAGTGACCTAGCATTTCTGTAGAACTCTGAATAATGAGTTGATAATTATTATAGAGCACAATGTATATATTATTATTCATAACTATCTTCACTATCTCTAGAAGTGAAAATTTTGTTCCAAATGTCTTTTACAGAACCTCTTTAGAAAGTACATTATAATTCGTTAAAATTTACTTTTCTTAGCTTCCAAAGAAATGGTTTGGTTGGTTGGTTATTTTAGAGCAAATCCACACTTGGTTATCTGTTGCGTCCATCGGGGGATCTAACAATGGATTTCAGTGTTGTAAATCCGTAAACTTACTGCTGTAAATAAATGGAACATCGAGTCGTTTATTTTTTCTGTATTTCGTAATAGTTTATTCATATATTCCAGCATTTAACACTTGTGAAAGAAACACTAATTCAAACAGAATATTCCTGGCCGATGTTTTTGTCCAATTGATAACATATTTAAATACCACGTACTTTAATGTTTTATTATTCTCTCTGAAAAAAAAAGATTAGCCCTTGAAAGTAAATAAGACTTTCATTCAACATTAGACATGTGTATTATTTTTCTTTTAGTCACAGGAATAACATTTCAACCCTGGATTTTCAAATCTCTGGCAACACAAGACGTCATTCAATATAGCATTTGTAAAATTGATTATTTATATGGCAGATTTATTTATAAGCACAATTTAGAATGCTCAAGTTTACCTAATTTAGTTCTTAGATTTTTAGACTCAAAACACGCTTCAGATATTCGAATTTTATGATATTATATAAGGCAGGAACAGCCAAATGCATAACATAAATAACATAAAATGATGGTTTATAAGGATTTTTACCCAAACTTCACAACTAGTGAAATATAACACTAAGTATTTTAATACTTTTACCTTATAATAAAGCATTGCCAAGAAATAGCTAATACAAATTCAAATTCAGTACAATATGCTCCAATAATGCAACATTTTGTGTTGACTTTATGCTATACACAAGAGCTGTAACGAAAGAGATACTTTGTGTATTTAAGTTTTACTAATATGACTGTTGAATAGTTTATTTTTCAATGTATCTGTATCAAAATCAAAATTCAGTTGTTATAAGTGCCGTTGTTCTTTGTTTTTGCATTATTCTACCCAGTTAGACCTCTTGAGGTTCATTTAGTAGCAGAAGGACTACATCTTTCAGCTGGAAAACGCGCAGAAATCGAATGTTATACAGCTGGTTCACGCCCTCCCGCAAGGATATCATGGTGGAAGGGGAACGTGCGGTTGCTGACTGCTAAGTCTGTGGTTTCTGTAAACGGAAACATAACAACTAGTATCCTTACATTTGCGCCCAGCCTAGAAGATAATGGGATTTACCTGTCTTGCGCTGCAGAGAACCGTCTGGTACCCGGAAGTGACATGGAGGATGGAATTAAGTTGGAGATACATTGTAAATATGAATATATTTCTCAGTACCAATTATGTCTTTGTCTCATTTTGCTTCTATGTGAATATGTATTTACTAGATGAATTAAGGCTCGTTTCTTGAGATTTAAGTATTTAATCAAATGGTATGTAAATAATGAATACTATATTTGTAGCTCTCTGTGATGTACCTTATCAGCAATAACGTAATCACACAGATAAAAATAACTCAAGAAACTAATTCTAATAATTCGATTAGATTGAAAATATCTAGATAGCTACATCAAATTGCGATAAACTTCTTTCAAAATCTAAATTTTGTTTTCTTGAATAAATAAAGCTTGACTACTTTATTACAAAGGCTTAAAAGAAGGTGCCGCTAGTGATAGAAATAATAGCTTATAAAAGAAATGTTGCAATATATTAACAGAAATAATAGCTCTTGAAAGGAATGTTGCAATATATTAACAGAAATAATAGCTCTTGAAAGGAATGTTGCAATATATTAACAGAAATAATAGCTCTTGAAAGTACTATTGCAATATATTAACAGAAATAATAGCTCTTGAAAGTACTATTGCAGTATATTAACAGAAATAATAGCTCTTGAAAGGAATGTTGCAATATATTAACAGAAATAATAGCTCTTGAAAGGAATGCTGCAATATATTAACAGAAATAATAGCTATTGAAATAAAGGTTGCAATATATTAATATAAATAATAGCTCCTGAAAGGAACGCTGCAATATATTCTGAAAATTTAGAAACTACGATCATCCTCTCATTGATATGCAAGGGATTCACAATTATATATTGAACAAAACTTGTTTCACATGGAATTAACACCTGACATAATATGATAGATTAGAACAACCATTTGCTACACCAAAGAATTACCAAACGTTTTAACTCACTTTGTACAGCAAGTGATCACAAGCCTCGAAATGTTAGTCTACATCATTAATTAAAATCTAGTTTTCATAATCCACTTCCACACAATACTACACTTGAACGTAATACACTATTCTACTATCCAAGCATACTTATAAGCTTAACGAAAGCATATATAGAGTAACCAGTATTGTAAACTATTCTCCAAATCTGTCTAGAGCTAAAGTTTCAGTAGTATTCTAAAATTTTCTTTTTATTCCTATTTCTACATTCACATAGTAATATATATGCACATATTAGAAAATGTTAACCTGTTTTTCAAATGTATAAAGCATACGTATATATATATATATATTTCTTAGTTCCAGTGGAATTTTGCCGTGAGTGATGGGCGGGGAAAGAATATGTATTGAATTCTTTGCTCAAAATAGCATCATTGTTGTATTATAGCGAAGTCATATACACATTTTATTGTGAATCATAAATGTTATAAATATAAGCTATACTATTTTTATACTAATTTCTTACAATTTCCCATAAATATTCATTAAAACCTTTAAAAGCACAAGTGAGTTTTCCTTAAGATGCATAACGATGAGTTTATTTCTTTTTTTATATTGTTGAAGTTATAAAGCTCATGTAAAAATATACATACGTCATGAAGTAAATTATTAAATATCGAATAAAGGAAATGTGAACCGACAACAAGAACGAGTTTTGGTTTGAGAACGAGGGTATTATGAATATTGTACTTTTATCCTACTTTTCTGTTATACCTTATTCCTTAGAATAAAAAACATACATCGCTGGTAAAAGAAACTTTGGAATAGAAAAATTGTATTCATTTTTTAGAGTGGAAGAATAGTTTAAGATTTATTTTGTAATATGATAATGTTATATGTTCAGTTTCTGTCAAATTATATGTTTTACGTGATTTTGTTTGTTAAAAATTAAATACTAGAAAAATAAAGCAGATAACAGTTAAAACCATAAATGCATAATCTGTGGAAAATGTAACTATTTCCCCATCAGTTACTTTTTCTTCTATTTATTTCCTATATTTTTATTTTGCATTTTTCACCAGCATAATGTAGCCCAATATGATTTTTTTTCCGACGTTACTATAACCCGTATATATTTCTATATCACATTGCTTTTAGATATTATAGTAAGTTCTATTTAGCATTATCAAAATAAAGCAAGCAAGAAAATATCAACAGAACATCAATCGTATTCTTCTTTCCTTTATCTCAGATGCTCCTCAGGTCTTCCTTCGTCTGGGAAGTAAACTTCGCCATAGTCATATTCAGGAAGGTAATGACGTATACTTTGAGTGCAACATTCGTGCAAATCCAAGTGCGTCTTTTATCGGTTGGACATTCGAGGGACAAGAAATATACACCAACACTGAATCAGGAATCATCGTGAGCAATCAGACTCTTGTTCTACAGAAAGTTCAACTTTCCAGTAGGGGTCACTACACCTGCACTGCAACAAATATGGAAGGACGAAGAGAAAGCAACAGCATATTTCTAAGGGTACAGTGTAAGCAAAATGCGCAAATATGGTATTTATTTCTAACGATTTAGAGACGCAACGTGAATAACGTTGGTTTTCTTTACATTAGCCATAATTTCTAAGAAAAATAAAATTATACCTTTTGAAAATAAATTAAATTAAAGCGTTATAGCAAAGATGCGTAATAGGATGTAGTAGATTGAACTATGATTGGCTTCTTCATATGCGTGCCCAGACTGTGGATCGAAAGATTAATATTTCTCATCACATATTCGCAAAAACGCACTTTGGAGCTGTGGGTTAACTATAAGACTGATGGTAAAATTGCACTCTTCAGTCAAGTAAGAGTAATCAAAGTGAATGGAAAGATTAATATTTCTCCTCACATATTCGTAAAAACGCACTTTGGAGCTGTGGGTTAACTATAAGACTGATGGTAAAATTGCACTCTTCAGTCAAATAAGAGTAATCAAAGTGGAGGAAAAGATTAATATTTCTCCTCACATATTCGTAAAAACGCACTTTGGAGCTGTGGGTTAACTATAAGACTGACGGTAAAATTGCACTCTTCAGTCAGGTAAGAGTAATAAAAGATATGGCGGTTTGATGCATTTGACTACTTGCCTTCCTCTTGTCTATCAGTTCAAAATCGGGGACAAATATATAGATAGCATTTGTTTTGTCAGTAATTTGTAATTTCCACTTGGAGCTTCATCATTTTTGCCTCCCCCCCCTAGTGGCACAGCGATATGTTTGCAAATTTACAACACTAGAAACCGGGTTTCGATACACGTGGTGGACAGAGCACATATAGCCCATTGTGTAGATTTGTGCTTAATTACAAACAAACAAATTCAGGCATGTTATTATATCTTATCTTAAATAAATATATTCGTTTTAAGAAATCTTGAAAAATAATAATAATGTCATTTGTTCTGAATCTGAGTTTATTATAAAGCAGTAATTATTCGTATTTATGTTTTAATGGATGTACTTATCTATCTCTAGAACGCTTTAACTAATAACAGAACCCATATCGAGTTATCCTTAATCAAATTTTGAAAATAAGTTTTGGGTCTTGAGATTATTTTATATAATATGTGACCAATCTTTAATTTCACTAATGTATTACTGCGCAGTGTACAGTTTCTTCAGACAAAAGGTCAGCCTGAGCTATTTACTTGCGTTAATAATAATAACAATACCAAAAAACGACACAACAATTCTTATTGTTTTTCGTTTCAGTTATGCGTTTTGCTGTCGTAGTTTCAATTGGTAATTTTTTAGTTTCACTAGGATTATGTTAGTTACCTAACGGTAAAGTAAATTCTACCATTTTTACGATTAGGACAGAATAAAAAACACACGATATTTTAAAACAGTTAGTCAGCTTGTTTTTGTTCTTACTTTTCATCAGTAACATGTGCATGCGTGAAAGACTGTACTAGATGTCTTGAGGTGTAGTCGAGAAAAAAAACGTCGATAATGCTTAGCATGACTTTTCATATCTTCTATCGATTTCTTTCACTGTCATGCAAGTTTAAACTATACTGGGATAATTCTCTTTTGGTGGTTTTTTGCTGACTTCGGGAAAAAATGCAGTGATGAAAATTGATAATATCTCATGGAATTGCGCTCATAGTTTTGTTTTTGTTGTTGTTTTTTTTCTTTTCCACAAGGACTAACTGCTAAACATCTACAATCGTTGTATGAACTTTGACTGAGAAGCACAAAAAACTATTGGAATATATAATAAAAGCTTTATTGTTGATCTTCTTTATATTTAAGGGGGGATCTAAATAAATATAATTTTAAAGATAATAATTCAATGTGTAATCCTAGACATGACTATGTGTTCCTGTCCAGTACTATTTCATATAAACTATAATGATATAAAAATGTTATTTCTCTTTCTGTAGAATACTTCACGCTAATCAGCTATTTAATCTACAATTTCTTGTTAAGTATGATTGAAGTACAATGCCTAATTTTTATTTTTATCCTAGCAATGAATTGATACATTGTTTTACTAAGACATTAGAAATATAAGCGATACATTTATTAAAGTCCCAGATGCTATGTCTTGGAGTTCGTCATATCATATAGCTTATTATTTTTTATATGAATTTTAAGATGTTACTAAAGCCCACAAACGGATTACTGAAGTCAAATAATGGTAGCAGGTAGCAACCAAAATATTAAAAATACAATAATTATTTCATTACTGAATGCTACTCTAATAATAATTGCGGCAAAAAATATATGACGCTGAAACTGAAATGAGTGCCCTAAACATTTATATCTATGCAAAAGTAATAACGTCATCGGGTTCGCCCGCAATAACTGGTTTAATGCATGCAGAAAAAAATTCATAATCGTGTGATATCTGTTCCTCTATTTACGTATCTAAAGAGAAAAAACATTTCTCATTAACATGAATAATATCAATTGAATAAATGACCTCAATTATACATAACACACCAAATATTACCATATTAAATCATAATGAACCAACAAAACTTAACGTTCGTTACTACTATTCTCCTGAGATATATCGAAAACTTCGCGTCCAAACACAAAGACGATCCCGTGCAAGCAATATGAGTTTTATCTGTTAACCTACCACATATATGTTTAGGTGTACATTTAAGACAGCACCTCCGATAACGCCTGTATGTTTATATGTACATTTAAAACAGAACCTCCGGTAACACCTGTATATTTATGTGCACATTTAAGACAGCACCTCCGATAACACCTGATGTGTTTATATGTGCAATTCAGACAGCACCTCCGATAACACCTGTATGTTTAAGTGTACATTTAAGACAGAACCTCCGATAACACTTTGAAACGAGCGACACTTTTCTCCAAATACTGATTTTGTTTTCATCAGAAAGCGTTGTTCCACACTATTAACAATTTATTTTTAATAAAAACATGCCAACAAGAGAAACATTGATTTAATAGGATTTGTTTGAACATGTATTACAAGGTTCCTCTTGTTACCATATTTTTGGAGACAGTTTATTTCTACAATGCTAGTTTCTTGAGTCCTGTGTATTTGAGCGATAATCACTGTCCAGTTGACAGAACAGCCTATATAATCAGTGGGACGTTCACTAGATGTCTCCTATTCGGCACCTGCAGTAGTCTGTGATGAAAGTGCAATCTCAGTGGTCTCTGAAAAGAGACCTTTCTTTGTCAACTGGGTCAGGCTTGGCTTTGCAGTTAGATATATCCGACTACTAATCTGAAGCTTCAGATTTTGAGGTTCGTAGCCTTAAAAACACAGTCGAACACTGAGACTGTAAATGCACTATGTGAGTGACAGTTAAGTATTACTATTATCTCAGGATAGAGCAGTATAATAGTGGCCGTGGGGTTTATTGAAAAACTACCTTAGGGACGACTAAACGCAGATAGCCCTTTGTGTAGTTTTGCGCGAAAATTAAGAAAAAAAACAGTTTGTTCATAATCTCAGTAACTTATTTGTTTATAATACAAGCAACTATTAACATGCACTGACAAAAGCTTTACAGTGACAATAAAACCAATTACTTTATGAAAAGTTGAAGTACAGAGAATACACAAGCATTTGCAGTTGAAGTAAACATTTGAGCTTTCCATAAGTACTTAGATAATGCAATGAATTTATTGCAACTTTTTATCCAATAAGCATATTATACAGAGGTTGAGGTTGTTATATTAGAAGATTTGGAGCCGCATGATGTAATTACAGACTATATCGCCACAACTTGCCATGGTCTATGATTTCATGGTGTGCAAAGTGTGAAGTGCGTTCCCAAAAGGTACAAGCGACTACAAATATAGGAGCACATAAATTATACCTGAAATTTCAAGTTTAAAAATAAAGAAGTTTTAAATACTAATGTGCAGACATTACTACTATTACGTAATATAGTAACTTTAATTAATATGGTAAAATGATAGAGGGCGTAACAAAACGTATATTTAGAAAATGGGCGACATAAGAAATTTTGCGCGCTACTGCTCTATACGATTACTAAGCATATTGAAAATAACCCAGTAGCGTAGTTTCCATTGCAAAATGAACCGTTGTAAGGCCGTCCTGTCCAAAGCACATCACTACCCCTGTTGCTTTCTAATAGCCATCTAGTGTACGAAGACGACAGTTTTCAACAGTCCGATCACAAAGAAACCCATAAATGCTGCTTCTGGTAACTTAACCGATGTATGGAATAGCATGAATACCAGTTTCTTTCTACAGCTACTTGAGGTACATGGTGGCTGAATAGATATGTCGTTGAATAACTTTCGTACATGCGAGTTGTTGCTTTTTGAGACCGAGATTGTTCTTGATTATGTTGCCTACTATTGCCTGTGATACGTGATCGGTTTCTGACACTGTTTTTAGTTTTCGGGGATTCTCACCTGTTACAAAACGTAGTTTACCACAACTGGGATACGACTTGTCAAAGGTCTCTCTCTCTCTAAACGGTCCATTCCCAAGTTGATCCATATTCGTTTGATCTCTAATGCACTTAAGTAAAAGAGATTTTCCCATCTTGTAAATTCTAAATCCCCCATGTAAACACATCTTTTTTTATTTGAATGTATGAATATTTTGCGTCGGAGAGTGCTGCTACATACTATTTAACGGTTTATATGAAAAATATTAATATTTAAGTCATTTATACTTTTAGCAAATAACCAGTTATTCTGGAGGTTTAATCTCATTCAGATCGTTTTGTTATAAACCTAAATAATGACTGAGTTAGACTTCAATGAGGAAATTTTTGAATGTTTTTACCCAGCAGTTTAGCTTGGGTTTCTGGACCTCATGAAAGCAATGATAACATTCATAGGTATTCAAGTTTGAAGCGAAGTGACTGTGTGCACTATACTGACAGAATCATGAGACAGTTGTTAATGTTAGATTCCAAGTCAACAGCTGATAGAAACAGCGATAAAAGATAACTCAAGTGATAAACTAATTTAAGATTTAAAGCTTTACAAGTATTATTGTACAAGTATTACAAGATCTTCCACGTTGACTACAGTAAACAGCGGAAAGGAAAGGCTAAGAGGCTAAGGGAATACTTGTTTTGGTTTTTCAGACTTAAACACAAGCTGTCAATATTGTGAACGAAAGGAAATCGAAATTTCAGCTGAAAATAGTATTGAATATTTAGTGAAGTATACAGAGGGTTGAGTACGTTACGTTAAAACTATTTTGATCAGCAGATCAGCAAGTCATGCAAAAATCACAGTAGGCAGAAAGTCGCGGTTAAACATATGTTTCAGAACTATATCTTAAAATTGTTTTCCGTTACGTATGTGATGTGATATGACTAAATATTGATAGCTTTTGGGTATGTCAGAGATGGTTGGAACATTTCGTTTACTTTATCTACCTAATTAAATATATTATTTAAAAAACATCAGAACTTATAAAGTGATCTATTAACATAGCAAGTGAAACTTTAACGAAAACAAAAGACAAGACATTGTTTTCAAATTACACAAAGATTTATCATCACAACAAATATCACAATATTTTTGTTATTTGTTTGTTATATGTTAGTTGTTTATTTTCCAGATAGTAAGCTATAACAACATTCAATCAGTTACATGTTTAAGATACTCAGTTTCTTTACGCAATTCGGTAAACAATCTACAATCTATTCAGAAATCTTATTGTATTGTATAAAGCAAAAATGTTGCACAGAAGTAAACGCATTCCAAATTACAACTTCCTACGACTAGGATATCTTTACGCCACCACCCTACCATCTATCATAATATAATGATTCTGTTAGTTACTGCATACGAATAATTAAACAAGGGAATGCCGTTTACAACTGCTTTGTCCTATTTATTTACCTTATTGATATTTTGGGTACTTTTAAGACATACATTTAATAAAATCATATTCTTGGGAAGTAACATGTCTATATAACTTATGTTTTTTTTATATGATATTTGAGAAAAGGATAAATGAAATCCTTATTTCTTGTATTGAAACTGTAAAACCGCAACCGTTTTAGAGGAGGCTAAAGTAAAAGGAAAAGTGAGAAATACATCATTCAGCCCAAGTGTGATCAATAGGTAGACTTTCCATTGGCTTAAAAAAAAGACACCCACTCTCTGATGCCATTAAGTTTGAGGGTGGGTCAGAGTATAAATGTTTGTGCTATGTAACACATTGATATATATAGTAATTTAAAATCAATACAATTCTACTTTCTATATATACTTAACTTTTAGTCAGTATAAATTTAATTAAACTATTTCATATTAAACGTTGTTGCTTTTTAAAGTACAGATGAGAAAACGTTGTAGGAATAAAATATACGACATGCACCCACAGATAAAAACAGTTAGTATCCAGTTCATCTCACTACTCTATGAAGAAACTGTTCATGCTCTACTTAAATAAATGATAAAAAATTATTAAAAATTGGGTTCCCTATTAATTGTTTGAGTAGAGCCTGATGTAGTGGTTAACTTACCGAGATGTGAATCGAACTCGCGATATGCTATTGTGGACGCATTCTAAAAGTGGCAGTGAATCTTTATATTTAATTAAGAATAACTATATAGACAGCTGTTGCTGCTGACTGGTTACTTTCCCTCTGGTCAACATTTCTAAACCAAGGACGGTTATGCCTGAATCTAATAATCACAAACAACTTAAAAACTTGAACATTTCTTTTCAGTTACAGTGAATTTCATTGAAATATATGACTGCACAAAATATCCAGAAACTGGATTTGAGAGTTAAAATTAGTAGACGGAAGGTTCAATAAAATAACAGTTACCTTTTCACATTTTAAACAGTTCTTGAAATCGTCAACAGCAGTATATACACTTTACGGCTTCGGAAAGTTGAGTATATTGTAGGTTAACTAAGGACGGGTTTTGTGATTCAAACAAATAAGAAGAAGACATGAAAAGCAAAATTTAATGCATTATAAAAAATGTTATAATTTTCTCAAGTTATAACTGAATTATTGTCAGTCTCGGAAATAATTCCAAGATGGAAGAGAGAAAAAGCCAACATAGTAATATATATATATTCTACTCGTCTGGCATACTCACTACACTTATCCAATATGATATAATAATAAACCAGTGGTATCGCAGGTGTCAGTGTAGCTGCTAGCTATGGTGTACATTACCTGCATGTGGAATATAAGTTGGTTAGTTATAGTGGTAAAATAATGAATTAGATACAACCAGAATTGAAGATAGGCAACCTTGATGGTATATTTATAGCTTAATTGTAATATGAATAAGATATATTATTTTTGATGCTATAATGATAAATACGCTACAACGAAAATATTAGTGGAGTCGTATGTCGATGTTTAACGAATGGTCAGTCGTAACAAAAATTTCACTGTTCACCATAGAATAACGGTTGGCTAGAATAGCGGTGTAATCTTTTGCTATAGCTAAATTATAGGTTAGTTTGCACTGACTATCGAGTAATGCATTTTTAATAATGTATGTAATTCCTGTATTTAACTTTGTAGTCAGTTTATGTTTCTTTGAATATTCATTTTCAAACTACTTTCAGATTTTCGCTGGAAGTATTCTATAAATTATTTAATATGAAACTACTTGCTCATTATTCTATTTTTACAGTAGTTATTTAGCTATTTTTATTGCACCGTATCTTTACGAAAAAGTAATGATATGCATGATATTTGTACCATATATTTCAGACGCTCCTGTATGTGTACCACAACAGACATTTGTGTACAGGGCAGCATTAAACGACCCAGTTCAAGTGACTTGTGAACTGAGAAGTGACCCCACTGATATTATATTCAGCTGGTTGTTTAACAACAGTTACAATAACCACGAAGTGGTTACCTTTGTTTCTAAAGGTACTGTCAGTACCGCTACGTATACCCCCAAATCAAAATACGAGTTTGGAACTTTACTGTGTGCTGGATCTAATAGTGTGGGTGAGCAACAGAATCCTTGCTCATTTTCCATCATACCCGCAGGTAGGTTATGAATTGAATTTCTATATTTAAAGATGTCTGAGGGAGATTTCGACATTTGAAATGATACATATTTGAATAGTTTTTAAAACACAAACAAATCAAAAATGTTTTATTCAAATCACCTTAAGCTAATACAGAAATAACAATTGTAGAATTTTAAAGAAGTAACAACATTTAAACTATCCAATTTTGACGAATGAAGCTACAGCATGAACATACGCAATCAACTTATAGCTGGGAATGGCTGATGTGTAGTGTCCTGTAATGTCTCACCTCCTAGCGTGCTATGCATTGAATTACTGGTGTCTGTTTTTGAATTTTATCAATGCATAATTTCAGAGAGTTAGGCCGTAGAATATTTTTATATAGACCTAACAATTTCAATATCATTAATAAATGTGAAATAAGCGTATTTGTGTCTATTTTATTATAAATATATAAAAATGAACTCTTCATTTAACGCATATGTTACGAACAGCTAATGCAACGAAAAAGACATATTAAATGATAACTATTTATTAGATTAAATAATTTCTGATGTGTTAAATAGTGTAGTTTATTATACATATATGAGTATACAGTATACACACACATATACATATGAAGATATAAGGATAATAGACACAAAAGAAATACAAGAACAAAACTTTGCCGCTCGACAACCATAATTATATCTCATTTAAACAAGAGTATGCAGCTTGTTTTCTTACTGAACTGTGATGTGTTAGTAAAACAAACATCGCTTAATTTTGTCTTTTGGAAAATAATAGTTATAGATTAGATATTTCTTGAAACATTAGTTCACAAGGAAATCACTTTGATCAGGTATACGTGAAACTTTCTACGCTGTCATTAACTTTGACACTTTTTTGTTGCTGAACCAATTTATTACTTTAATAATCTATTAATTTATTACTTATGAATATTATGAGTTTATGTGGTGTTCCGTGAAATATTTATATGATTATAAGTGATAACGAAGTGAATAAATTTTTTTATTTGAGATCTAGTTAGCTATGAGTTACTACAACTTTATTAGTTGCCATTAGAAAACAATTCATTTAGAAAATCCTTATATGAGCTCTCGACTTTATCAAAAATTATATTATGCTAATGCTATTACGTAATGTTATTAGTGTATGTATGTGTAAAGGGGAGGAATAAGGGTGTAACAGAATATAGGGAGCAGTAGAGCAACACCAGAAATAAAGAAAATGGTCTCCTTTAATTTTGAACTGACAGACTAGATAGAAGGCAGCCTGTAAACAGAACCAAGTGCTAGCTCATGTTTGACTGAATAATGGGATTTAACCAACACTCTTATAGAGCGTCAACGTCTCAGAGGGCTAAACCCATTTTTGGGGTAAGAGATTTACAACCCAAGCACGCTAAGACCAAACCCACACGCAGCTCTTTTTCTTCTGATTCAAGGTCACTAACGTAATCTTAATCGGTTATTTATCGCAGTGAAATATCAGAAAAAAATATATTTGATTTAACGTTGTTACCAATAGATTACAAAATAAAATCAATATAACTCTTAAAACAAAATCAAAGCAAACAACTTTAATGCCACAGTCGGTTTCAACTATAAACCTACATCCAATTTAGCTTTGTTCCAAAATTGAGGATAATTTTTTTTGTGTTCAGGACTTGAATTCCAATCTATTGTTAAGAGTACTCTCAAAGCTGCAAAGAAAGAACTAAACGATAAAACTCACACTGTAATTAGGGTTAACATTGATCTGACAACATGCATGCTGTGTAGATTTGCTCGAAAATTCTGAAACAAACAATAAACTGAAGAAGGAAACATTAAGTAACACACTCTAGAAGATAAACATTCATGCGTTGTTCTAAATGCTTCTCATTTAAAATAAAATGTTAAAAAACTAAACTACAGCTGTCTGTTTATTACGTAGATGTTATCCAGTTCGGTGGTTGTGTAAAGTAATGTATGCTATTTTCCCCTTTTTATAGTTACTTATATCAATTATTTGAGTTCCTGGTTTTATTTATGAAGAGCATATTGAAATATATTAGTTTGGTATGTATAGATAGGTGGGTATGACTAAATGGTACTACAAAATGAGAAAGAGTATTATACATATGTGTGTGTGTTTTCAATTTATATACTTACTTTCAGGAAAATATCGTTAATGGTGTCTGCAGTTTCTTGACGAAGCCATTAGTGTTAACTAAGTGGGTCGGAATAAAGCTCACAGTATTTTGACTTTTTAGCCAAAGATACCCTTTTCTTATCATTAAGTGCCGGAAATCTATTACGTTATTTTTCATTAAGTGCTGGTAAAACGCTAGAGTTGCCAGGAAAATGTTCACAGAATACTTAATTTGAATGAAAATGTTGCAGGTATTTCTGACTACTTCATGATTTTTATTATCGTTTTTTTTTGTAATCAAACATTGGCACAAACTAAAAAAAAAAACATGTAGTTTATTACATAATTTCCATATGTTTTATGTATCAACAAGAAACATGATTTACTGTCAGGTTTTTTAGTTGTTTGCTCACTATTTTGGGATATGTTGCGAATGTTTTTAATAAATCACCAACAAACAAAGTAAATATCAATCTAATTAGTGTTTGGCCAGTTTTATTACTCTGTTTTTCGCTAAATTATTTGTATTTAACTGTTCACGTAATAAAACTGAATTGTAACTGAAGCAATAGCTCAATAACTTTCTTTTTAAGTTCCAAAGACTCACAATTATAGCTGAGTTATAGCATTCAGTCACTCCTTTGCTGACCCTTAGCAGTTAAACAGAAATCCTTGGGTATCCCGTATACAGAGAGTGTGTAAATGTATCTACGATCAATACTTCAGATAGTTATTCACATGCTATGATGTTCAGAACTGTGAAGTACACACACACACACACTATATATATATATAAGTAATATATATCGTTTTATTAACGGGTAAAAATTCTTGAAAGTATATTTTTCCTCCGAACTATAGTTAAAGATACCAGAAATATAAGAGTGATACGAATTTGGGTGACAACGTAAGCGTGAAGTTGAAAAGAGACGTCAGGTGTGAAAGGAACACCAGCAAAGTCAGTAATATATGCATCTAGTAGATTATGGCTGTACGAGCGTTGCCTGGAACATTAAATCTCACTAAAATAAAGTTCCAATTAGAGCAAAGAATGGAGAAATTGAGTTATGAAAAAAAACACCATAAACATCAAAATGGAAGTAGGGTTACTATATTTTATTCATGGTGCTACCTATGCATTTTTTTATTATATTACAAAAAAGTAAGTATATCTGATGGATAAGTGAAGGTAAATCCTAGTCATTGAAACTTTGAACTTAATTTAGAATACAACAAATGGTAGTAAGAATAGGAAGAACAAGTAAATCTTATAAATCAGGCTGCCTCCATGATGACGTCAGGGTCATTATACCATGATTCTATAAGCATAAATAGCATGAGAAGATGGCCTTGGCATGACCTCGTGGCTACAAGGCTCAACTTGAAATCTTTGGTTCGTGGGTTCGAATGTATCAGCCATTGGAACGTTATAAAGTAACAGTCAATCGCACTTTTCGTTGGTAAGGAGTAACCCAAGAGTTGGCGGTGGGTGATCTTGACTAGCTACCTACCCGCTAGTTTATCACTTCTAAATTAGAAACGATTAATTCAGTTAGCCTTCAAATGGCTTTGCGCAAAATTCAACAAACAAACAAATAAAACCATGACAAGAACATAGAACTTGTAATGATATGAGTTGCATGATATAAAGGGGAAGAGAAAGAACAATATATTTGAGATTCAAGCCAACTGGAGCAAAGAAAACATGAATATAAAAAGGATGACACGTTTTCCATATTTTGTCTTGTTTAATTTTCCAAATGTACATTACTTCTTTACACGGTTTCCCTTTTACATAACTGGTCTATTTTTATGTATATATTGCATCCTTATATGGCTGACCCCTTTAATCTAAGTTGGATGTTGTTACTTATAAAAGTTTTGATTAGATATCACTACTTTTATGTTTTGATATGTAATATCACTTATTTCTATTACTTTACAGATCTAAGGGTGATGCAAAGTTTGCACTTCATGGAACATTAGTTTACATGTATATATATATATATATATATATTGAACATAGAAGTAATAGTTTTGTCCACTTATTAATCATTTTGAATAAACTATAATCATGTTTTCTGTGTTTAAATATGTTAAATTATTTTCAAAGAGAATAGTCAGATTTTGTGATTACACATGTTGTTTATTTAGTAAAACTATTTTATAAAATATATTATCTATATTTTTATATTGACTAAAACCTTAACAAACTGCGTTAGTCCATTTGTGTACTATTTTTACCACTTTTTATTTGCTTATTTTCATTAATCTAAACCAAGTATGAAGCTGTATTTAATGGGAAATATAAGTGTTCAGGTCTGTTCAAATGCGTAAAAATAATGACATTTTAACTTTTCTAATAGTTGTGGTAATGCCCCAGATTTGGCCAAAGGTTCTGACTTGCTTTTGAGTCACTTGACTGGAGTCACTGCTGTTTCTTATCAATGTTTAATAACATTCCCTCAGTTTCTGCTCTGTCTTTTTCCACATGAGATATACCTGAGAATTTCACTTATAACCTGACGATTACAATCTCATAAGTTATGAAACTCTGGAATAAGGAATACAGAATCCTGATTTGATAGTGTTTTTACGATCGTAGATATTCGTTGAGAACAATTTATAACAAATAAGGTAACAAAAAGAATGAGTGAAAATACCCCAAATGGAATTAAATTGTTTCCTAAAATGTGATAACATCTAACTAAACGTAATAAGTTAGTTGTGTTGCTTTAACAGACCCAAAATGTAGGTCCAAACTTCTTGTACAACTGGCGTTTGTTTTTATGCATATTTATATTTCGGAAGTTAATATAAATATGAATCGTAATCTAATCTCGTGGCATTGTTTTTCGTTCTAAGCAGGTGTTCCTGAACCAGTTCGCAACTGTTCCTTTGTCAATCAGACAGACAATGAGATAGGTCTAGAATGTATAGAAGGTTATGACGGAGGCCTGAAACAGCAGTTTTACGTTGAGGTTGAAGAATCTCTTAATAACAAGTTGATTTTGAATATCTCATCTTCGAGACCCTTATTTTCTATACAAAATCTTCCACCTGGATCATCGTTCAATTTTAAGATTTATTCATTCAACATGCAAGGTAAAAGTGATCCTGTAGTTTACAAAGGATACACTTTCGAACCATTTGGAGATCATTCAGATCAAGGTAAGTTGTTTCTGGAGAATTGTGTGCTATTGCAAATACATTATGTTATTCAAATTAAAAAGCCTTAGAAAATATTTTCGTCAACATGTTCGTGTTAAAAAGGGTACACATTTTCGCTTTTAAAAAGATATATAACATTGTTATTTTCATTTATTTAAATTATCCAATTATCCATATATTTGCACATGTTCTGTACGCTTGCATTTTCGGTATATTATTTCTGTTTCGCCAAATTAACATGAAATTCCCCTTTTATTGTATTTGTATTTAAAGTATCCTATCTCTCATCACACTAGCAACCAAGCCTATTGATTTCACTCTGCTTGCTTAGCGAATGGATATTATTCAACATAACAACCCTTTGTTTTCAACTTATTAGACTAATTCACTATATTCGCTGTTTTAAAGCAACTCTTGTTTTACTTGGCTGTCAAATTTTGTAATGACATAGGCAGCATATAAAATAAAGTTATCTTTTGATTAAACATCTGACATGGCACCAGTTAAAACACATTTAACTGAAATATTGTTTGAAATGATTTGTAGTGGTGTTTAAATATTTTATCCTTTACAAAATTCTAAAATTATAAACAAATAATCTATATTATAACATTTATATAACTCTATGAATGTTTGTTTTCGCTTAAAAATAATCAAAACTGTTTAATTTATGGTTCCTTTAGAACTATCTCATAAAAGGAATATTTCTGTTTTACAGAAAAGAATTGGGCTGTTCCTATCAATGCATTATTGACAGCTCTTGTGTCAATCCTTGTTGTCTTGATTGTCATTGCAGTGTGTGCTGTTTTTATTTTAAAACTAAGACTCATTACGAGAGGTAAATATTATGCATAATGCCTGTGAATGTAAATAAATAATATTGTACCTTATTACGATACTACTCCATTATACGATTAAAAATATCCACAAACGATTATTAATGTACGCATATACGTGCAGTTGTATATTCTATATATAGTGTGTTAATCCAATCGTGTTTTTGCATTCCCAATATAACGATAATTTATTTAAGATTTCTATGATAATATTTTTTCTCTATTTGACAATGAATCTCTGAATCAACCGGACCAATTGTGTAGTTTTTGGAAACAAAGTAAGATCCATTCCACACGAGATCCGAAAATCTGTCAATTTTGGCATCTTTAAGGCTTGATCTGAGGAGTCTTTTCCTGGGTTTTTGTTCTATCGAAATAGCGGTCTTAATGGCTTTCTCTCTCTCTCCCAAAAGTTAACCACTTTCACCGCTCTGGTCATGGCTGTCCAAGTCTTCCGATGATTCTGCAAACATACCCGGTCTGTACGTAGACGTGCTTCTCTTCGGCCTTTTGACATTTCTATTAGAGCCAACGGAAATTCTTCTCTGGTCGTTTTTATAGTTTGCTTTCTCTGCAATTGGTATTCCTTCACGTTCGTATTCTCAACTGCTGCACTGATAGCACGTAAAGCATTTTGCTTCCTCAAACTTGCAAGAAATCGTTGAATTTGATGATTTTGACAATGTACATTTCGAGATGTGTACAGTATTGTTAAAAAATTCGCTAGTTGTCTTTACATTACTGATTATTATTTACTTCGCGAAAATTTCTATATATGTTGTATTACACCATGACATCAAGCAAAGTTTACTAATATATTTATTCTTTTAGCCAACAAAAAAAAGGTAACTGTTTCATCTCTTCTACCTCTTTTTTTAGTTTTTGGATTTTTCTTGTTTTATAAAATGTGCAAGAGAATTAAGAAATTATCAGACGCGTGTCTCCCAGAGGTGCAATACTCTACGTGATCTGGTTGCCTCAAGAGATTCGTTGTTAATACTTTAGAGTATGGTATTTTATAGGTTTACGAGTTTATTATAGATACAAACTACTTATATAAACAAATATCATATATTTCTAATTTGTTTACAATTTCAAAATCTACCTACATTTCTCATTTATAAATTGTATTTAATACCAGCTATAAAGTGGTATTTTTTACTTAGACAAACTTAGTTACCTAATTAATCTTCCTAATTAGTTCATTTCTTGTACATATTTTACATTATTTTAAATTGCAATCATATTTGGTGCTGCCTGATAAATGTTTTTAGAGATTCGTGTATATACATTTATTTTACTATGGCATCTGTATCTCGTATATGTGACGTTCTAATCAACTCACAAATGATTAAAATATGTTTATACCAATTCAAGAAATAATATAAAATAAGGAATATTTAGAACTTATTCAGTTATATATTGAATGTAGCACAAGTATATGTATCATTGTTTGCATATGCTCTGCTTTCAGATGATAGGCAAACACGAGAAAATAAAATGTGAGTATAAAGTTTTAAATTTCTAATTAAGTAGGTTATTAAATGAAAATATAATTAACATTTCTAGTTCTAGTTCTGACCGTAACGTTACCTTTAGTATATTTTAATATTTGTTTGCCACACAAGCATTGAAAGGGCAGTTATTTAATAAGTCAATTTTCACTTAAGAATTAGACTTACAAGCAGTATCAAAAGAGAAAGCAAAGCCAAATTGTTAGCAATATATATTGTAAAATGAAAACTTAAAGGTTAAAACACTCCAATGATGCTTTACACGCATAGATAAAGTATTTAGCACCGACTCGAAACAAGCGCAACGCATTTCGATAGAGTTGCTTTGACCTACGACACACTTGATTAACAAATTATATGGCTTAATAATAATTTTATAGAAAATTACTTAATTACGAATACTGACCGAATAATTGTTCATTATGTTTATAATTTGCACTTCAAATAGTTTTAACGATATGATTACACACCCAGCGTAAACTTAAGATTCAAATGATCTATATAAATATATAGTAAATATTAGCACGAAATACTTAATAATATTTCATAATATAGGATGACTTGGGAATAAAAGATATAAAATAAAAGTGTTTTTTATACCTTAAGGAATATGCCACGGCTCAAATGCACACCTCTGCCTAGAGTATGCAGACGCCACTTGAACATGTAACTTGATCCACTCGGCATGCTTTGCAAGGAAACTTGGTGAGAGTGAATACAGAGAGGGAGACTCACACACGCAAGTACTTTGGAAGAGCCGATATATGCAAGGGATATATCATACAAAAAGTCCCCAGCAAGCCGTTTGATGTAAAGTCCGATAGCGTTTGGATTTAGATGATTAGACGCGATTCTTGCATAGTAAGGGGAATCAGTCGACGCGGTTTCTAAGAAATGAAGGACTATGCGTCTTAAGGTTGAAAGTTGAAATTCGAATGTAAAGTCTTTAGGCAGAATGAGTTATGAAACCTGCTTTTTCTGCGCTCTATGCGTGGGACCTACGTGTCTAAGTTAACACTTTCCAAAGGTCATGTTGAAATGTTTGGTTATCAGAGAAAGATATTTTTCCAACAGTATAACACACACACCGCAGCAAAGCACCAACGGTCAAAATTACAATATTAAGATCTTCAAATAGTTTGTCCAGAATCGATAGATTAACTGTATAGAAAATCTTTGATATAACCTAAAGTAGTTAGTTCGCGGAGTTAAACCACAAAAATCCAATTGCATTTAACTGTTTGAACTTTATAAAAAATAAACAAATTGCACCAGAGATCTGTCAGGAGCTAGATAAAGGCATACCTCGCTGAATAGGAGAAGCTATTTGAGACTAGCTCAGTGTTATTCCATATTACAACAATGATTTCTGAGACGCTTCTTTTTGATTACATATACATGAATAGTGCTCGGCATGGCCAGGTGGTTAGGACGCTCGACTCTCAATCTGCGGGTCGCGGGTTCGCATCTCCGTCCCACCAAACATGCTCGCCCTTTCAGCCGTGGGGGCGTTATAATGTGACAATCAATCCCACTATTCGTTGGTAAAAGAGTAGCCCAAGAGTTGGCGGTGGGTGGTGATGACTAGCTTCCTTCCCTCTAGTCTTACACTGCTAAATTAGGGACGGCTAGCGCAGATAGCCCTGGTGTAGCTTTGCGCGAAATTCAAAACAAACAAACAATACATGAATATTTATTGGCAGAGAGATGCATAATGAGACAGTTTTATACCTGTATAATTCTCAGCTCATTCATGATTTAAAAGCTAAGTTATTAATACATTTTGTATCAAAGATTCTTATATTCGTGAAGACTAGAAAGTATTGCTTTCATTATGAATTCTTCCAATATTTAAATTGATTTGATAAAACTACTATTAGCTCATTCGAATGTTAAACAAAAATGTTAACAATAGTATATTTTGCTATCAAATATTATAATATCCTTCTTTATTTTAATCATATGCGTCTCTAATGAAACTCTTTGAGCATACACTTTCTGGTATGTTAAAGGTATACAAGTTCTTAAAAAATGAATTTGAATTAGGAAAAACATTATCCAAATACATAAAATAACACATTCAAACATCTAACCCCGTCAACTAACGGGAACATATTTAAATTTCAGTTTTTTATTTTTCAGTAAAACAAAGTTGAAAAAATATAGCACGAAAAATCTATAGAATAAACTAGACCCCCGTGACCCGTTGGGTCAACCACTATTCAGAGGTTATGAAGAATTCAAGCTAATT